AAAGTTAGGAAAATCACAGTAAGGCAAAATGAAAATATCTATTAGATCAGATCAGGATGGTATAACATTATTATTTGGACAAAAACATGACCTGTGCTTAAACTCTGTAAATACTAACTTTGGCTTAATTTACTTTAACTTGACAAGTAGTAACAATACAAATATGACTCAAGGTCACAGAGGAATTCTGCAAATAGAATAGAAAGTTAGAATTGATAGGATATGCACAATAAGGCATCAAAGTTACAAAACGTATCTCTGTTGAGAGGTGTGAAGATCTCAAAATCTCTATCTCTGTAAGAATTTTTAAAATAGCAGCATAATCTAAATAATATAAAATGTTATTTAAAACCTTTTTTACTGTTTTTCTGATAGATTTTTTGATAATTCATCAAGGTTTCTTGACCCCAAAAATAAAAGAAGATTGGCCTCACTTAATAAAAGTAAAACCACATGTTTATTGCTTTATAAGGTTACTTTATTCTTGGAGAAGTATAATTTCCAAGTTTTCAAGGCAATGAATTATATACAAAGACCATTTTCACTTTATATGCACACACACACACACACACACACACACTTTAACCAAAATTTATTTTTTCAAAACAATTATTTTATTTTACTTTATTTATTTTTAATTTGATCAGAGAGGGTGAGAGCGAGAGTGAGACAGAACGAGACAGAGAGAGAAAGAGAGAGAGCACAAGCCACCAGGTCAGGGACTCGAACTGCAGTCAGCCATGCGGGATTCCAGCATCCTTAACCACCAAGCCACCTGCTGGCCCCCCAAAAGGTATTTTTAACAACTTATTTTAACTTACAGGTCTTTTTCAAAAAAATCTTACTATGTATAAAAACAAAACAACCACTGTCCTTAGAAAGTTTACAAGAAGTAGAGAGAGAGAGAGAGAGAGACAAATTAAGAATTTGGGGGTTAGATAATAATAAATAAATAAATTTAAAATAAATAATTCTTTAAAAATAAAACAAAAATCGGGACTGGGGCCAGTAAGTGGCATGATGAAAGTGCTGGACTTCCATATGGCTGACTGGTTCAAGTTCCAGACCTAACAGTTTGCTGTCTCACTTTCTCTCTCTCTCTCTCTGGTGAGCACACATGTCCTATAGCAAATTAAATGATAACACTAATAATATATGCGATTAAATTAAAAAAAAGAATTGGAGCTAGCAGGTAGTGTTATGGTTAAGGTGCTAGACTTCCACATGGCCAACTGTAGTTTGGGTCCCAGACCTGGCATCTTGCTTTCCAATTTTCTCTGTCTCTCTCTGTGTCTCTGTCTCAGATGAGAGCACATGCAATATAGCAAATTAAAAATGATAATAAAAGTTAGTAAAATTAAATAAATCTTTAAGAAAAAACTTAACTATATAAGTCAAAATTCACAAGGGGCTTAAAACAGAAGCACAAGAGCCAGCAGGTGGCATAGTGGTTAAGGTGCTGAATTCCCACATGGCCGACGATAGTTTGAGTCCCAGACTTGGCAGCATGCTTTCTCACTTTGTCTCTAGTGTAAAAAATATAATTTTTTTAAGAATTACTTTATTTAACTTTATTTATTTATTTATTTTAATTTGAACAGATGGGGACAGAGAGAGAAAGCAAGTCGCCAGGTCCAGGACCTGAACTATGGTCAGCCATGTGGGAGTCCAGTGCCCTTAACCACCATGCCACCTGCTGGCCCTCTCTAGTCAAAGTTTTCAAAAATAATAATAATAATAATAAATAAATAATTCTTTTTAAAAAAGGCAGCACAAGTAACATACCAGAAGAACCTAACTAATCATTCAATAAATATTTATGAACCAGATACTCTTTCATAAATACTATACTAAATACTAATATAGCAATAAACAAGAAAAAGTGCCTCGGTCCTTCATAGTGGCTAAGGCACAGATGCTGAACAAGTGAATTTAAGTACAATATGTATAACAAAAAAAGAGACAAGGAAAACACACAGGTGGTACAATGAAGTTTGTTCAGAAGGATCAAGGAAAACTTAAAGGTTTTGTTAATATTTCAATAGGGTCTTAAAGATTGACAAGTATTTTAACAAACAGAGGAAGACTAAGAAGCTACTGGTTCTGGCAAATATATCAATGAGAAAGTAGTTTACTCAAGCAAAGTGAGTAAAAATCCAACTAAGTAAGATGTAATGGTAATTCCAGGAAATGGAAGTAATAAGCACACTACTCTCAAAAATTAGAAGGGAAAAGGGGATAGAAAAGTTTGTTGCTTATAAGGTTTAAAACTGAAACAACAGGGGAATGAAACCTTATAAAGAGTAAATAAAAGTTCTGTCCTCTTTGTATAGCAAATTCTTTATCTATACAAAGTAGGACAAAGATAAGCAATTTATTTAACCCCAGAAAATGTCCTCCAATCCAGAGGCAGAGGTATTCAAACTGCAAAAACCATCCATTTAAGGGACCAGCAGTTCACGTAATGGCTATGTGGCTAGACTACCACATAGTCGATCACAGTTCGAGTCCTAGACCTGGTGGCTTAAACTCATGCCAGGTGCATGTGCGTGCATGCCCAAGATCCCAAGAGGAGAATGAAAGAGAAGATTGTGGTGTGGCCATCCCCAGTCTCTCTGTCTTTCTGGTGAGCACACGTACCCTATAGCAAAACACTCTCCAAAAAAAAGAACCACCTATTTAAAATTATACAACAAAGGGGCCAGCAGGTGGCATAGTGGTGAAGGCACTGGACTCCCTCATGGTCAACCACAGTTCAAGTCCAGGACCTGGTAGCTTGAAAAATCACACCAGGTACATGTGTGTGCATGTCCAAACATCCCAGGAAGGGAATGGAGGAGAAGGGACTGTGGCATGGCCATCCTGGCAGGTGATTTCTTACTTTCTCCCTGTCTCTCTCCAGCGAGCTCATGCACCCTATAACAAATACCTTAAATTTAAAAAAAAAATTAAAAGTTATACAACAGGAAAAAATTCATGGAGTTATTCTAATTTCAGCCTAAAATTAAGTAATATTAACTACTTTAAAAGTAAAAAAAATGAATCAGCATTAGATTTTTAGGCCCACAATGAAAAGAATATTTCTATCACAAAATATATTTAGGATTTGACCTTGAAACTAAAACAACATAGTCAAAATCTCTATCATACCTCAGAACTCTCCAAGAAAAACTATCTAAACATTTGATTAATTACAATAAGGCACACAGTCTGCCTTATAAGTGTGAGAGATTATGAGGGTGACCAGCTACCTTGTAAAAGGCTACTTTCCTGGCTCAAAACATCCCTGTTCACTGGAAACCACTCTCTTCTCACTGGCAGTAGAAGATCAAAAATTTATCCAAATTGTTAACTAACTTCAGTAAAGCCTGGCTTCTCTTCTTGATAAGCTGATTAAGCCAGTGTGATTATGGTCCAAATACTGATGTATACTCATGAATATATCCAGTCCAATTCTCTTCTACAAATTTTAGTTACCAACCATATGAATGACATTGATTATTGCACATTTTACTTTTTTGATATTAAAAGCTGTGAACAAACTAAGATCTTTTGCCAATTATCTGTAAACTATCTATGTGGAGTAATAATAAGTATCTAAATCTCAGGTTGACTTCACTACACTACCCAATCTGTCTGCAGACCTTCTCATATAAACACCATTTAGTGTATTCTGTTAGAATACAAATTAATGTGAAGAATAAGAACACCATGCAGTAAATCTCTGTACTCTACAGGACCAGCAGTTGGTGTAATGGCTATGTTGCTGGACTCCCATGTAGTCGACTATGGTCCAAGTCCTGGACTCAGTGGCTTAAACTCACCCCGGTGTGTGTGTGTGTGTGTGTGTGTGTGTGTGTGTGTGTGTGTGCCCAAGATCCCAAGAGGAGAATGGAAGAGAAGGGATTGTGGCGTGGCCATCCCCATTGGGGGATGATTTCTCGCTTTCTGTCTCTCTGTCTTTCTGGCAAGTGAACACACCCTATAGCAAAAATCTCTCAAAAAAAAAACAAAAAAAAAACAATAATCTCTGTACTCTAATATGGAAATATGTTCATGATATAACCATGATATAATCATGAAAATAATTACTACAAAATTATGATTTCATTTGTATAAAAAAATTATATTGGCCAGCAGGTGGTATGGTTGGATCCCACATGGCTAAGTGCATGGTTTGAGTCCCAGACCCAGCGACTTGAAAAATCGCAATGGGCATATATGCATATGTACCCCAAAATCCCAAGCAGATAAGAAAGAAGAGACTGAGGCATGGCCATCCCTCACTGCAGGGTGCTTTCTTACTTTCCCTGTATCTCTCTGGTAGGTGCTCTAAAGCAAATAAATAAGTAATACACTTATATATGAAATGTGGTTAGTGGGACCAGCAGTTAGCATAATGGCTATGTCGCTGGACTCCCATGTAGTCGACCGCAGTTTGAGTCCCAGACCCAGTGACTTAAACTCACGCTAGGCGCGTGTGCGTGCATGCCCAAGATCCCGAGAGGAGAATGGAGGAGAAGGGATTGCGGCGTATCTATCTCCCCTGGGGGGTGATTTCTCGCTTTCTGTCTCTCTTGTCTTTCTCTGTCTGTCTGGTGAACACACGCGCCCTATAGCAAAAAACGTCTTAAAAAAAAAAAAAGATACTAAAGGCCAATATGGCCAATATGTAAGCAAATTACAATAAGGTCTGTAGTAAGCTATCTTAATTTAATGACTTAACTGAAAACAAATCCTCTGAATACTAATTACTGAAAGGGTCTAAGATTTTACCTTCACATTTTGAACATTTTAAAGAAATTTTTAGCTTCATATTTTCAAATGTATTCTAGGCTAACATTCATGTGTTTTTAAATGGAAAAAAAATTTCCCCACAAGCTGCATTTTTGTAATAATAGTGTACAATGAAATCTGTAGAATTATTATAAAATATTTATATAAATACCCAAAAGAATATCACCTAGGATAAAAGACATTTAACATTTACAAGGACTTACCTCATCACAGTCTCCTTCAACCATGGCATAAATAGCTTTCTTAACCAAGTTAGTACCTAGAATATAGATCTGAGCATTAATAAAGGAAAAACGTAATTAGTTTCTTAAAGATTCCTAAATTAAGTAAGATATTCACGATAACAAAAATGTCAACTGCTGGGTTCTGTCTTGAATGCAGATACACAGATCATTTCAAATTAGTGGGAAAAATTACAGGCATAAGCTGAGAGAGACCAACAGAATCTACATATAGCAGTATGTTTTCTCTTTAAAGAGTTATCTCCTGATATATTCTTTTTTCTCAGGTGTAATTATGTATTTGTCCAAGCATGAATTTGTTCTACTCTGTCTGAAGGTAGAACAAAAGAGAAAATGAAAAAGGCAGGATATGGTAAAATAACAGCAACCTAGGAACTCTGGCCAAAACTTACTGCATGGCCCAAGCTGATCTTGCCAAGCATCTTCAAAATCCCTGGACACAAGGCAAAGGACAGCTTCACCAGAACTGTCATGCCCACAGCTGACCCAAGACACTAGGATGATTCCTACAAATCTTATAGTGAGTCTGTGCACGATGAAGTCTTATATACCCAATGATGGCAGTGCTATGACTACAAGTATCTAGTAAAATGTATCCTAGTTTAGGGATAGATAGATCTGGTACATTAATAAAGAAAAATTGGCAAATCTGATATATTAAGAAATAAAAGTCAAATTTTATTAAAATAAAACTCATAATTTTTAAACCATAGATGAGTGGATATGCATTTCATGAGCCAAACAAAATTATTTCTAAAGGCCAGGATGCAATTGTTAAAGCCAACTGGCTTCTGCTCTCTGAACTAGCTGAACAACTGCCTATCCTTTATCATGAGTCCTTATCAGCTCTTTTTAATATACCAGACTCAAACTTGGCCTTTTGAACAAGTCCAGTTGGTTCAAGTCTTGGACCCAGCAGACCCAGCAGCTGGAAAATCATGCCAAGTATGTGTGCATGCACGCCCCAAATGCTGAGAGGAGACTGGAGGAGAAGGGACTACAGCATGGCCATGCTCCTGGGGAGTGATTTCTCACTTTCCCTCTTTCTCTCTCTCTCTGGAGAGTGCACGCACCCTACAACAAAAACTAAAAGAAAAAAATAGGTTTAGAGGTATAAATTAGTCATCTTTCAGGGGCCAGCAGGTGGCATGGTGGTTAAGGTGCTAGACTCCCACATGGCCAACCATAGTTCGCATCCTGGACCTTGTGGCTTGCTTTCTCACTTTACCCCTCTCTCTCTCTGGTCAAATTAAAAAATAGTAACAAATAAGATAAAATAATTCTTTAAGAAAAAAATTATCTTTTGAACAAAACAATAATAAACAAAACAATTTATTGAAAGAACTTTCTGGAGCCAGACCACAGCCTGGTGATTAGGACAGCTGGATTCCACAAAGCCAACAGCCCATCAGTTCAAGTCTCTGACTTGGTGGCTTGAGAAACACATCAGGTACTTTGTGTGCATGCCTCAAATCATGAAAGGAGGAAGACACAAAGTAGGGATTGCAACAAGACCATACAGCATGAGAGATGTTCTGTCTCTCTCCTGTGAGCTCACATGGCCTCTGGAAAAACTTAAAAAAAAAAATAATAATGACTTCTCTGAAAATACTATTATGAAACAAAAATAACCTTTTCTTCTTTTAGTTTTAGGTTCATTTCTACATGTTTACATTTAAGCCTTTTGTTTTAAAACGCAAACATAAAAATAACTTATGCATTCTTTTAGTGAAATAATATTTTTCTTACCAATGCCATTTCTCCTGTATTTGGAATCCACGGCTAACATGGCTATATAACCTCTGCGGAACATCTTTTTGTGCATATCCAACTTGCAAACGATGGCACCTACACACTCTTCCCCTACCATGGCCTTAAAAATAAACAAAGAGTTATAAAGAACACATTGCCATCAGGTAGAGAAAAATTACCCAGGGAAAACACCAACCAACTGGTCAGCATTTATGAGGGATGAAGAGATCATGGGAACTCCAGCAAAAGAGTACTCACAGATATTTCAGAAACTAAATCCCAGAACTCCTTCAAATGTTCTAGTTTAAAAATCTCTAAATATTCTTTAGAACATGATTTCTTACATTTATTATTAAAACTTAGGTGAAAAAGGCAAGATATCCACACAAAGTAAACATTTGAGTACTTTTTTAAGATTATACATGAGGTATGTATTACTACAAGTTTTAGGAAGGACCTACCAAGTTTTAGGAAGGACATGCTAAGATACTATATATTTGTCCATCGGTAAAATTTTTAAATTTACAAATTTAACTGTTAAACCATTCATAAAAGATAACACGTGATACTTAAACTTGACTGATAGTTAGATTTTGATAAGGAAAATACATTTTAAAATTTCAGAAAAACATTTATAAAGTATTAGCTTGGGGCCAGGAGGTGACACGTTGGTTAAGAGTGCTGGATTCCCACATGGCTGACCGCAATTTGAATCCTGGACCTGGTGGCTTGCTTTCTCACTTCCCCTCTCTCTCTCTCTCTCTCTCTCTCTCTCTCTCCCCCTCTTCCCC